GGAGACATTGACTCCTGAGCAGCTTCGAGCCAGGGGCTTAAACTGCAACTGGTTCAGCAACGTATCAGCATCCGCGCTGGCAGGGGGGCTCTCAGCATCCCCCGGGCTGCTCCTGGCGGCTGCAAACATTCCCGGCGCCTGGAACAGCAAGCCAGGGATGGAGCCGGAGTGCTTGGAGGGCTGAGTTGTGGAGCCACCGGCTCCTGCAAAGGAGCCACCGTCGCTCAGCACATCCTGAGCGGGAGAGATAGGAGGGAGGGAGAGAAGTGGAGGGGGAGATGGAGGGAGGAAAGAGAGAAGGGAGGAGGAGAGGCAGAGCGGGGAGGGAGCGGGAGCGCCGGGCGAGGAACACAGGAGCAGGAGGCAGACAGAAAAACTAATCGAGGATGATTGAGGGAGAGAAGGCGAACGAGGGAAAGATTGAGACAGAGTGATAAAGAATATGTCAGACAGACAGGAAAACTAATAAAGAATAATAGCTGCCCCTGGCCATGTGCAGCATGCACACACCTGCCCGTGGCCCTGTGCACTGGCACGGACAATGTGCACCCCTGGGCACGCGCAGAAGTGCCCTGTGGCCACCAGCCATGTGCTTGACCCTCCCCAAAAGCATCTTTCTTTTGGGGATCTCTGCATGGCCCCCAGTCGGTGCCCACTTCTGTGGAAGGTGCATGCTCTGGCTGGTGCTGGCATTGCCTCTTTGTTTGCTTCATAGCTTGAAATGCCAAGGGGAAAATGGCTCTTTTTGCTCATCCATCCTCAGAGCCAGCCTCCTCATATTTCCCTCTCTGCCCTGGACCTTCCTTGTGCAGCCTTCCTGCCCCAGCGCTGCTATGGGCCCAGGGTGAGATGGGCGCCCTCCCCTCCGTAGCAAGTGCCAGGCTAGAAGGGCTGTGCTCTGTGTGTGCTGGCAGGGGCTTGCTCAGCCTCCCACTCCCTTGCCATCTCCACTGAGCCTTGCAAGATCCTTCTTTAAACAAGAGCTGACAGGGGAAGTGAAGAGTTACTCTCAGAGCAGTGTCTCTTCTGCATCAATCCTCTCCTGCCACCACTGACCTCTGGCTCTGGAAAGCTCCTAGATAGTGGCCAACTCCAGGCAGGGTAGGATTTGATTAACTGAGCCCAGTTTAGAAGCATGTGAGAGCCCTGTTGTCTCTCTCTCATATTGGTTTGGGATACTGGTATTAGCCTGGCTGGTGCCACTGACCAGCCAGGCAGGAATAAGGAACCACAGACCTCAAGCTGGCCAGGCTGTGACTTGTGATATTGCAGGTACCCAGGGCTGGACACACTCTGCCTTTGGCCAACATGACCAGGATCTCACCTTTGGCAGGAGTGGTGGGAAAAGGCGGTGATGCACCACCAGCTTCCAGAAAGCTCAGTGTGGCTAATTTTATTCCACGTATTTGACTGTTCTGGGATCCCACCATGTCCCGAAGAGTGCTTGAAGGATAACATCTGCAAAGGTTCAAGTGTCTCCTCCCGTGTGCTCCTGCACTCGAAGTTTGTTTGCGGCTGTGCTGTTGGAGCGTACGTCAGCATCGCGTCTGGCTGGAGGTGGAGCTTTGCAACAGCATCTCCATCTCCTGCAAATTTGAGTTGTCAGCATAATTCAGCAGGTTTCAAGCTACTGAGAGCTATGTAAGGCAGGGGATGACAGCATCTCCTTTGCTTTTCCTCCTTGGAAATGGTCAGTACTGCTCCACTCTGCATTTTGGGGTGCACCTTGGCATTTCTGATGAGCTTATCCAAGTGGCGATGAAACTGTGCTGTGGGGACCTACCTTGGCAACCAAAGAGGCTCTGGGAAACACGTCATCCTTTCCAGAAGGCTTTGAGAGGGCTGAGATGAGCACAACTTATCTCAGGAAAGGCAAGCAGTGTCCTCGCAGCCGTGCTGGGAGGGGGTTGCTCGGCTGTGATATAAATAACGCAGGGGGTGTGGAGGCGCCAGGCTTCCCACACACGAGAGATGGGTCTACTTGCAATGAGCAAGCATGGTGCGTGGGAGCTGCTCAATCTGTGTGCGGAGCATTGACGGAGAAGTCTGACCTGCCAGGGCCAGAGGAGAAGGTCCTCTGTGAAAGAGACACAGCAGAAAAGCTGGTCAGGCCCAGTGGCAAAGTAGAAGCTGAGCAGTAAGTAGGACAGGATGGAGAGTACAGGGGAGAGACTTCAATCCAAGGGGAAAGAGATGGAGGGGAGAAATCCGTAGAGGAAGAAGGCTCCACATCTCTTGACACTTTCCCTTTCTCATTGCTCTTCGTCTCCAGCCTGCCTCTTGAATTCCTCTCTTCACCCACCCCTACAGAGGAGCCAACCACGCTGTGTCCCAGCAGCCTTCCCTGGTGCCCTGCCCAAGCTGATGTAGCTGTAGCTGAGTTCCAGCCCAGGGGCGTCTCATTTCAGGGCTTTCCCTGTCAGTCACAGTTTTTGCTGCAGCAAGGCAGCATTTGGACAGGGGCAGGTGGAAGAGGCTGCACAAGGTGGAACACACGTGATGCATCAGGGAAGGGTGTTCAGCATGTGGGCAAGGTGACATGACCTATCTTATCCATTTCCTAAAGCGGGTCAGCCTCTGTTTACAAACTCCCACCGTGCTTGGGTATGAAGCCCTGTGTTTCAGGGCTTTCCTCTGCTTTCAGAGAGGGTTAGGTTTGCATTGCCTGGGTGAGGGCAGTGCCTCTGAGCTGTGCCATCACCTTGGGGTTAGATCAATGCTGGAGTGGGAGCAGACAGAGCGTGCTGTACCCCAGGTCAGATCCACATATTCACAGGGCAATTAAGGTCTGATCCCCTTGAACTGACCGTAGAGGTGTGGGCCAAAGACCACACAACCTTCATCTGCTTGGCCAAAGCTAGAGGCTGTCCCAGCTTTGTGCAGCCTCTGGGAAAGCCATTTGAGTCACCCACTCCCCAGTACCTTTCTGGGTCTGGAATCTGCTCAGCCCTTTCCTTGGCACTGGGGTTATTTAGGAGGACGAGGCTGGGACATCCAGCACCAGAACATTGGAGAATTTCCCGTGTTGGTCCTGTACTTGCTGCAAAGATGCTCATCCATCTCAGATGGATGTGGAGCTGCTGCTCCAGCTCGCCTCCATGCTCTTACTGGTGCAGCACGCTGCTGCAGGGACTTCTGCGTGTTGAGAGGCCCCAGAGTTGTTTCTGCAGCAAATCCTTCCATCCTTTCCAAGCTGCAGGGAGCCAGGAGAGGGCGGATGGCTCTGACTCCGTGCTGCCAGGACACCCCCTCACCCACAGTGGCCTTATGTGACAGCCGCCATCCACTTTGCCTAATTACAGGCCTCCTCTCGCTCACAGCCATCCTTGTGCTGTCCCCAAGGGCTTGTCTCAGCTATGGAATTACAACTCTGCCGCCCAGTTTCTGTCCACACGTGCAGCTGTGCTTCCCTGCTGGGGCAGCGGCCGCAAGGCTCCTGCCCACGGCTGTGGTTGCTTGGGCTGTAGCCTTCATGCTCCATGCTGCTGGCATATTATAAATCACACTGATGTGGCCAGGCTAGAGGAGTAAACGTCTCTGCTCTGCGTCTGCATGGCGCTCAGCATAACAGCGCCGTGGTTTACGGTGGAAGCCTCGGTGTTATTGCAAAGCTAACTAATCAGCAACGGTACATGCTGATGGGCCTTCAGAGCCTTCCCACGCTGCCCAGAAAACCAGGGGCAGTATCCAAAGGCTCTGAAACATCCCTCTTCCCTGCGGCTCTGGAGCTGTGACAACAACTACCTGGGGAATGCTGCTGGGAAGGGAGATCGGAGAAAGGATTTGGCCTCCGTGCTGACGTGGCAAACCTTCTTTTCAAAGCCCTAAGAAAACATTCTTCCTCCAGAGGTAAATCTGTGGATTTAGCAATTTGAGGCTGTTTCAAAAGTGAGAGTGGGACTCAAATGAGTTCTGCAACAGAAGCTGGCTGTCCGTAATGAGATCAGGGTGGAAAGATAGGCTCAGAGAGTTAAGATACCTAATGCACCGCATCCCTTAATTTGGAGAAGCCTAGGACAGCAACTTTTAACAAGATGCCCTTTATGAGCAGCATCTGTGCTAAGGATAACCTAGTGATTGGCACCCTAGTGAGGGCTGACAGACAGGTCGGGGGCGAGAGGCACATTCGGGGAGGGAGAGCCGTCAGCTCTCCCCTTTCTGCTGTATCAGAACGTGGCTCCCACTTGCCCTAATCCCATTAGCTCTGTTTGCACTAAGTCCCCGCAAAGAGCTCCCTTGGAGCGAGTGCCTCCGGGTGGGCCAGCTCAGCTCCACCATGGCCACAAGCAGAGGGGGAAGCACTGCCTGATGCAGCCACCTGGGCCTTCCCGGGTGATTAAACCCAATGCCAGGCCCTCCCAGGGCGGCAGCTCAGGACCCTGCAGACCCGGGGCACCAAGGCTCATCCCGAGTGTGTTTGCAGGACGGCCGAGGGCAACGGCGCTGAGCCCAGCTCAGGATGGGGATGAGAAGAGTCATGCGGGGTGAAAACGGGGCTGAAGCAGAGCTGTAGGGGCTGAGCATCTGGCCATGGAGGAGACTGTCCCTGCCTTGGACGATGCCAATTCCCTGCTTGTGGCAGGGGAAAAGCTCTGCTCCTAGATTAGCTGCTGTTAGCAGCACCCCGGCCTTCTCTCTATCAATCTGCCTCTGGGAACAAACTGAGCTGCATGTTCTGCTGGGGCTTCAGCGGGAGAGCCCCTGGAGAGGGGGCAGGGCTTGCTCTAAATCTCCTAATCCCCTACATCACATCGCCAGACAACCCGAGCCACAGCAGCAAACTGCCTGGGCCTGAGCCCCCCGCCTCCCCCGAGCTGCTTGCAAATCCCAATCATCCCATGGGCGATTACAGGGGTTTCTCCTGTAGCACAATATCCAATCTCCCCCAGAGGCCACAGCAACATATGCAGGGCCAGGCCCCACAGCCGCTGCCGAGCAGAGGCAGCGCCCTGCTCATCCTATTAGCAGAAGCACACCAAGGGGATGCAGGAGGCAGGCACAAGCTCCCTGCATGCTAAAGCCTCCTGAGGAAGGTCGCCAGGACCCCACAGGACCCTGCATACAGCGATCTGTGGGCATCGGGACATAAAGCAGATCCATCTCCAAAAGCGGACAGCTCTTAAATTGCTTTCAGCTCTTTTTTTCACATCTCCACCTTGGGCACCAGGCTTGGCACGGGGGCAGTGCAGCTCCTGGGTCCGGGGCCAGCAGCCCATCTGCAGCTGCCTTCACACTGCAGCGAGATAGCAAAGGCCCAGCTGCCCCCCAGCTCAACCCGGGTGCCCAAGCATGAAAGCCACAGGGAGGGAGCACATTGCCATGCCACTGCAGCAAGGTCTGCTGCACTGTGGGTTTCCTTGGCCCTGTCTGCAGCTCTGACTGGCTCCAGGAACAATCTCAGGATTTTTTCCTTTTTTAAACATATAGTGAAAATGGATCAGGCAGTTCTAAGACCTCCAGCTACCTGGTTCCCTGCTTCTGGCTTGCAGAAAAGCCCACCACTTTAGAGTGAGGAACTGTGGCAACCAAATAAGCCCAGACATTCTGTGGTTGTTGACAACCTTGGTTTTTGCTACACAGTAGCTCTTACTGGGCCCAGAATCACAGAAGGATAGAGGTTGGAAGAGGATTATCTAGCCCAACTCTCCTGTTCAAGAGGGTCACGTAGAGCACGTTCCACAGCATTGCCTCCAGGCAGGTTTTGAGTTATCTCCAGAGAAGGAGACTCCACAATTTCTCCTTCACCCTCACAGTAAAGAAGATTTTCTTCATATTCTTATGGAACCTCCTGTGCTACAGTTTGTACCTTGAGCAAATCCATTCTGGGGCAAAGCCACAGGAGAGGTAGCCCCAGTTTGAAAGCTGCAGTTGCTGCATGAGGTCATTCCTAGTGAAAGCCAGAAAGAGATCTCAAATCCTGTCCATTTTCCTATGCAAATGCTGAAAATTAATCTGCCAGATCAGGGCAGGTTAACTGCATAGCTGGAGCTGCAAGGTCAGGCCTTCAGGAGACATCTGAATTAGGATTTCCATCAAAATGCACATCCCTGGCCTGGCATCTTACCAAAACATTTCAAGTTCTTGCTTGTAAGTGGAGGAGTCTATTAAACCAGACATACTTGAAGAAGTCAGGTCAGTCCAAAGCTTATGCGATAGGCAGCCTCTCTGCTCAGCCTGCCTCCCCTCTTTGCACAGAAGGTACCTTCGTGCTGTCCCCACCTGACAGGCCAGCCCATCCCATTGCTCTTCTTTACAGGGTCGTAAGACTGGTACTGGAGCCCTGGAGGCTCCCAAGTGAATTATGGAGCAAGATGTAGGGAGAGGTTAGGCTGGTGGAGGTTGCCTATGAACAGGCAAAGAGGAGCAAGTTCCCACCTCCCTCTTCACCCTAAGATGAGAAAGATATTTGTGGAGACCCAGGCTGTGCAAATCGCCAAAAATTGGCGGGAGAAACCCCAGCAAGGACTCTGTGGCCATGTTACTTGACTCCATCTGGGCTCCTCATGACTATCTCTTTGAGGGCACCCTAGGCTGGAGCCCATATTCTGTGGCTCCCTTGGGAAATGAAACCCATCCTGAAGGCTCACACAGTCCGAGGTCAGGCAGCCTTGGACACGGCAGGGATCCTGCAAGCCCCTGCAGCAAATCGAGACAGGGTCACCCAGACTGTGCCTGCCTCTGAGCCCGCTGCATCCCCACGGATAGAGGGCTGGGGAGGAGGAGCAGGACTGCTGGCCCGTGCTGTGCTGCTGCATGAACAGAGCTGCGGCCTGTAGGAAGGCAGGGGCTGCCGCAGGCACGTTTGTCTCCGCTCAGAGATACGGGGCAGGCGGGCTCCCCACCGGGCTTCACCTTTCCCCAAGAGGCTCTGCTGTGGCATCCCCTCAGTCACAGAACCTGCCTCGGGCCCAGCCCGGTGGGTCCCAGGGGGTTACAGCAGCTTTGCGGCAGGACGCGGTGGGGTTGCAGCCAGGAGCGGCCCACGCTCCTCTTGCGCACCGGAGTCTGCTGCTCAAGAGCACGTATCCTGCTCCCCATGGTGTCCTCCTTCACCAGCGGCATCTGCGAGGCCCCTTCCATCCCCAGCGATCAATATTGGCTGCCATGGAAACCAAACAGTTTCCAGAGCTAGTGCAAAGCAAAGCTCCGGAGCTGTGCTGGGGCGGGAGGGGATGGGGAGACTTGCTGTGCTGGGGAGAGCACAGAGAGCTGGGGAACGCAAGGAGAAGAACAAGGAGGGGCTGTGGCTTGGGCACTGCCACCCTTGGTCATGACCCTTCAGGCATCAGGAGGAGCGTGGGAGACATTTCCCCTGTGCATGGCCCTGAGGAAAGACCAGAGAGAAAAGGTTGGTAGAAAGGATATTTCTACAAAACTCTACCACAGGGACAAACTATCTGCATTTTAACTTGGAAACCCTTCCTAGGAAGTGGCTTCCAAGCTGGGGGTGTTTCTTTTCTTTGCCTGGTGCTAAGACCATGGCCATTCTAGTCCCTACACTCCACCTTTAGAAGGACAAGGGAGGTGCAATGCTGCGAAAGCACCTCGCAGCCACGGTAGGGAGTAGCCACCAGCATTTCCAGGTTTGACATGGCACCACTGTTTTGAGATGGTCTCACCAACCTGGAAAAAAAAAGCCCATTTCATAAAAAAAAGGGTGGAAGGGTGGGGTTGGCATCAGGTCTCCAAGGGGCAGTGGTGGAGGTGCAAGGAAGCCCGAAAGTGGCAGGTGGGACTCCTCTCCAGCTCTCAGCTTACCTGGATGCAGACGGAGATGGCTTGGTGCAGAAGACACCTTTTTCCTGCAATGTTTTGGTTTCAAATAGTCAGATCTGTGTCAGCAACCCTTTGGAGGCATCTCACTTGCATCAGTGCAGAAGCACCCGTTAAAACAGCAGAGGGAACACAAGAGGCCAAGGCAGAGCTCCTCTCATCGGGAGATGGGCAGCAGGAGTGAGGATCTCCCCACAGCAACTGGAGGCTCTGGAGCACATGAGGTGCAGGGTCATCCTTACCCAGTTGCAGCTGCTTTCCTCTCCAGTGACACAAGACATCTCCATGGCCGTGACATGGGGAAGAATCAGGCAGAAAGAGGCACTCGGGTTTTCACACTTTTATTGTAAAGCTTTAGGAAGGGCTAATTACAACGGAGTTGGGTCATCTGACAGCTCAGCAAACAAACAGAACAGGAGAGAACAGAAAGGGGATCACGACGGTGTCATGCTCACTGCTCTGAACAGAAAGAATTACAAGGGAATCAATTGTGCTCACAGCGCCCGGGGAAAACCAAGCCCAAGGCCCAAAGCCTTCCCCGCACAGGGAAATGCATCACACATTGAGAGCAATACAACCTTAGCAAGAGGCATTGCCTTAGACATAGGTCACCATCTGAAAAATAGTTGGGTACTTTACTCTGCCATAGGATTTCTCCTTTAGAAAAGCTACACCTGCATGTACATAAAACTGTACAAAAAACAAGGCATCACAAGCAAGGAAATGAAATCTTGTATAAATAGAACCAACACTGAAGAGCTACAAAGGGGTTGCTTAGATCCTTCCCACGCAGCCCGCCTGCTCTCTGGCTCCCACCTTTGGTTTTACCCCTGGCTTGTCCTAGTGCAGTGTTAGGTGCAGTGAATCCCTTCACAGGGGCTTGGGACCCCCCACCCCTCCTCTTCGCTGTGCTTGTCTCGACTGGAGCCCGTGGGGCGCTTCCTTCCCCCCACGTGCACAGAGGCTTTATCCTTCTGGCTTATAATTGTGCAAATGAGCTTCTTGCTGACAGCACCTCTTTGCCCTCCTCCAGAACTGATCCCCAGTGACATCTCCGGTTTCACCCCAGGACAAATTCCCAGTGCCCCCTCTTCCAAGACCCGTGCCCAGCACCTTCTCCTCCCCAGGGACCTGTCCCCACCGAACCCTCCACAGAACCCACCCCTCCAGGACTGAGTCCCACTGTCTCCTCTGTTCTCCCTCCACTGCCTGCCATGTTCCCTCTAGACACCCCTTCCCTCTCTGTCCCCCCAAACCCATGTTCCCTACTGTGTTCCCCTGCAAAGACCCATCCCCATTCCCCCAGGGACTCCTCCCTCAATACCCTCATACCCACTGGCTCTCTGCACACTCCTTCATGTCCCATCCCTCCCAACCCCTCTGGGCTCCCTTGGGGACTTGTCCCCCCTGCGCTCACCCCCATAGTGACACATGTGCATGGGGAAGCACAGCCAGACACTCCAGGACATCAAACGCGGGGCTTCCTCGGGCAGCCCCTACCCAAGGGGCCGTCAGGGTCCCTTTGGTAACCATGGGCAGAAGGTTGGTTGCCCACCTGCAGGCAAGAGCCTAGGAAAACTCGTCTTGGACAAGCACCCCTCAGATGTGGCCCGAGGGGGGTCCCCAAGAGGGACATTGGACACTGCCTCTGCCTGAGCCGAGGGGAGGCATGAGCAGCCGAGTTGGCAGTGGAGTCAAAGATCCTGGCCTGCGTGGCCAAATTGCACATTCTGCCCAGTTAGGCCCTGAAACTACAGAGCTACAATAAAAACATGTTCAGGAACATGACCTGCTCAGGCGGCCAGGCCAGGGAAACGTGGGCCTCACAGCGAGGCCTCCGTGGGGAAGGGTAGAGCAGGAACTCCTGGATGGACACCCCGCCGGGGGCAACACGCCTGCCCAAGGGGTTGCCGGGGCTGTGCCCCATCCAGAGGGAGCAGCGACAGGAGGCCGGGAGGAGGGTCCTGCCTCCTCTGCGTGGCCTCTCGACGTGCCGGGGCCGCGAGTGCCAGCCTTGCACCGCATCGCCCGGGGAAGGCAGGGAGCGGGACGCAGGCGTGGGGCAGCAGGCGAGGGCGAGCAGCGGGGAGCTGTGCCTTCTGCTGCCCTTCCCTGTCCCTTGTCGTCTCGAGGCCTGGCTCAGCTTCTACCTAGTCCACAGGTCTCCACCAGGCCACATCTTACCATCATGGCCAAAGCGAAGGGAGAGGAGCTGTTCAGTGAGGGGCATGCTGGAGGAGGGGAAGATGCTGGGCAGGGAGGTGCCCCGGTGCTCCACAGCCTGGCACGGCAGCTGCGGCAGGGCACCCTCAGAAACTGGCAGGGTGCCCTGTCCCTGCTGTAAGTGCCCAGTGCCGCTCATGCCCGAAGCCGTTGGTGAGCCCCACGGTGAAAAGGGCACACTGCAATGCCCTGGCACAGCGGGGTGCCCCTGGGGCCCTGGCCAGTCCCCTGCGTGGAAAGCTCTGATGTGGACTGAAGATGAGCAGACACTGTCCTGCAGCTACCGCTGGCCTTACTCCCTAAGGAAGATCCCAGAGATGAAGACAACCGAAGAGCTCGTATGGGAAGAACAATGGTGCAGCACAGCTGCTCCCAGCATCCTGGCAAGAGGAGGCCTGGGAAGGGTGACTGAAGAGAGAATGAGGCATGAGTCCCCAGCCCTCCTGCTGGCAGCAGGGCACAGGCTGCTGGTGCTCGATGGCACGCAGAGCCCCCCGCAAACAGGACAGAGCCCCGGTGCCCAGCTCAGCTCTCAGGCAGCCAAGGGAGAAGAGGGGCTCGGGAAAGCACCCAGGCATCTCCATGCTTTCTCCTTGGACTCCCACCTCGAGGGACAAGGTGGGTTTCTCTGGAGACGCGTGGGAGCACCATCCCCTCCGCATGGGCTGCGCCACCCTGGTTTGGTACCCTGCAAGGGGGCCGAGAGTGTTGGCACCCAGCAGGGCAGCGCCATAGGAAGGGCAACAGGGCACCAGCCTGGCAAGACTGGTCAACCTTGGACAATGGAAGAGAAAGCTGGAGCCCTTGAGAGTGGGCCTGTGGCCTAAGGGCAGCGGGACTCCAGCAGACAGGGGCTTAGCGGCCCCCGATGTGACCCTGAGACAAAGCTCCTCCTCACAAAGGCAATGGTGGCTTACAGGCGGACAGGACGAAGGTCGAAGGCAGGGCACAGCCGGCCTCACGGGCATCCCCTGCCCCGGAGGAGGCACAAGGCGGTGGGCTGAGACGCCACAGCCAATGATGACCTCCTTGCCAGCAGTTGGACTGAGGGCTTCTATGGACCGAGCTGGTCCCTTGAAGGGGGGCTTCCCCATCCCTCCTCCACCCGTTGGGCGCAGAGCCAAAAGGGAATCCCCCAATGCTGAACCCGCCTATGGCACTGGGCAGTCCCTAGGGACCCTGCAGCTTGTGGGCACAGTGACAACGTTCAGAAAGAGATCCAGGTTGAAAAAAAAGTCAAGTCCCTACAGTCCCACTAGGACACTGCCTCTCCTCTCCAGCTCCCCAGCTGCTGTTTCAGGGACTGGTCACATTTCTATTTACAATATAGAACATGAGTGCAGGCCGGAAGCTGTGCTCCCATGGGCTCTTCCACGCAGCAAACCATTCAAAGCTGGAACTTGCTCCCTGTGGTTTGTGGGTTTTTGTTTAAATGTCTTTTGTTGCAAGGACAAGAAAAGTTTCAATCAGGCAGGACTTGAATGTCATTCCTAAGATTCATATTTACAGGAGTCTACAGTAAAGAGACAGGCAGCTCACTCCCTGTGTGCGGGGACACACCACGTCCTATGCCCCAGGACCTCCACCAGCTTTTTTTGCGTGGCCCTTTGGTAAGCAAGCCCTTCTCCCCAGCCATGCCCTCTGCACTAGGAGCCTGCCCGGCCCTCCCCGACGCAGCAGTTCAGAGACATGCACCCTCAAGTGCGTGGAAATTCCTTAGGTTTTGGATGTGTTGATCCTTCCCACCCGCCCACCCCAGCCAAGACAACATTGGGTTAAAAAGGCGCTCCTTTCATCCCTGCCTTGCCCTGCCCTGCTGTCCTCAGAGCCCCTGGGGCATCTCGCCCACACCCTGGAGAACCAGCTGCAGGAGCAATAAAGCATTAAAGTTTAAAATGTTCCTCTGGACACTGGCCTCAGAAGCACGTCTGCTCCCTGCCTCTCAGGCCCAGCCTCACAGGTATATCTCCCTCTTGGTGGTTTGGGACGAGGGGGTAGTGGCTGGCTGGAAGTCCGAGGTCTGGGTGAGAGGAATTTCCTCCATGGGAGAGTCCTTGCAGGGCTCATGGCTACTATTGGAGAAGGCACTGTACGTGGGGAGCAGGCGGAGGTTGGCCATTTTGGTGCTGCGCTCTTCTGAGAGTCTGGGGCTGCCATTCCCGACTTGCTCTTGACTCCCTCTATCTTGGTAAGGCACAAAAGTGGAGAGTTTGAGGGCATTCTTGGGCCTGCGATTGGGGGAGGATTGGCCAGGCATCCAGCAGGTGTCGGAGTGGCCGAACTCTGTGCATTCCCGGGTACAGGTCCCAGTCATGGCTACATCAGGCAGAGGCCGGAGATCTGCAGAGAAGCAAGTGAGAGCGTTGTTACACACGCGCCGGCCCCACGGCGCCGGGAGGGGAGCTGGAGCAAGCCGGGGGCACCATGCTGTCCTCGCTCCGCGAGGTGGGACCCGTGATGTTCCCGGAGAGCGTGCTTTCTCCAGGGCCTCCCCAGGAAGGTGCACAACGAGCCCTCTGCGGTGCCCAGGGACCTGCCCACGAGGTGATGGAGCACATTAGTCTCCCAGACCAGAGCAGGATCTCTGTTCTCCTGGGAGCTCCTATCTATTGCCCACTGAGAAACAGTCACACGGAGAACGAGGAGCAGAGCTGGGATGAGCTCTCTTGTACCAGCACCCTCTGCCAGTGGAAGGAAGGGGACCCAGCCAAAACAATGACCACCCAGGGAATGGAGAAGAGCTGGGAAGGGAACACAGAGTCCTGAGACCTGCTGCTTCCTCTCAAGGTCACAGCTCCAGCTCCCTCTGGATAAGCACCTTCCCTGCGTTGGGTGAAGAACTGAGGAGGCACCGCATGGCAGGGCATCTCTCATTGAATCCATCTCCTGCAGTGAGGAGGTCTACCCAGCGGGGAATGTCACAGCCTGGACTTGCACAGCAGGAAATAGGCTGCCACAGGACTGGTCATCCCGCAACCATGGGCACCACCAGGCCTTCCCAGGCTCTGAGAATCACCTTGGCCCAGGCACACCTGGATTAGCAGTGAACGCTTTGCAGTGCAGAAGTCCTTAGGGAGAGTCCTTAGGAAACAGCCATTCCCTTCCGCAGACAGCCAGACCCTTCACTGCCCTGAGGTACAATCAGATGTCCTGAGTGTCAAGACACTCTGTGCCTATATGCTGTCAGAATTCCCCAAGCATTTATATTTCTGCATTCCAGAAAAAAACAAGCGTAAGTCCAGAAAACAACCAGCCCTCTCTAACATCAGAAGTGTCCTAGCTCATGCCTTCCTGGCCATCCTTGGACACTCCTGCCCTGCTCACCACCGGGCACCCCAGGCCACATGCAAGCCTGTGGCACAAGCAGGCATTAACAGGAGCTGTCCCTCCCTAAGCCCAGCCAGGAGTCCTTGGACATCAGCTGATCTCCCATGCAGAGTTTGACATACCCAAACACAGTGGTAAAATCGTTTCTACCCTCAGTGTAGTTGGGCATAGATGAAACCTATGAATTCCTGCCTCAGAAATGCCCAAGTTTCTCTATGCACCAAACACCTACGCCTGAGAGAGCAAGATATCCCTGTGCATCAGCAACTCCTGCTTCTGACATAGCCAGGAAGCTCTGGCTACCACTTACTTCCCATTCTGGTCACAGCCCTGCTGCATACAAGCACTGGCCTCTCTCAACCTGGGTATTACGAGGCCTTTCTGAGGCCCAGCCACATGTTCTTTACACAGCCAGTATCTGTCCTAAATCTCCAGGGGCCAAAACTAGCCAAGCACAAGTGAGTTTCCTTCCAACAGGCATCGCAGACCCAAGAGAACCCCTTGCCCAGACTGCCCCATGTGCCACCTGCTCTCTTGTGACTAAGGAAGGAGCTTCCTTGGCCATGTTGCACACACCTATTGCTTCCATCTAGCCATTTCTTGAGCCAAGCACAGCCCCCTGTCACCACCTGGGACATGTCACTGCCCACTGCCATGGACAGGAAGGCAGATCGAGCCTGCTGGGATGAGGGGAGTGTTTCTCATGCTTTTGGTCCACCCTGAGACTCTCAACTGAAAACCTCCCTTCTGATTAAAAGCTACTGCAGGGCCAGGACTACTTGCACACTTATTGTAGGAACCAAAGCAAAGCACAGAAACTACATTGAGTCAGGCTCCAGGATTCCTGCCAATGAGGGAGTCCTTTCTGTGCCAGCGAGGCTGTCCTGGTTTCGGCTCCGTGGTGCCTCCTCCCAAGGAATGCACGGCATCCAGCAGAGTGAGGTATCCCTCAGCTGGCTGCATGTTTAAATTCACCTCGTTTCCACCCAAAAGACTCTGAAGTTCTCTTCTCAGCATACAGGGGCACTCCGTGTAGCATCAGGATAGTCCCTACATCTCTCCATGGAGGATCTCAGTATCCTACACTGAAGACTCTCCAAAGAGACCCAGAAACCAACAGATTTAGTGCTCAGGTGCTCCAAGCATCTGAAAGGTGGAGACCTATGGGGCTAGCACAGGACCTGCAACATACTCAAGCCTTTCACAACTGCAGAGTTGGGACATCTCACATGCTAACCTGCACGATTACTCACAAACTGCTTGAATTACTCCACTAAGACCAGCCACTTTGTCATCACATGGTGCCAACAGGCCTGTCAGCTCAGAGCACGACCCCACGCCTGCCCCTTCCCACCAGATACACACTAGCAAGCACAGGCTCATCCTTCCAAAGCCAACGGATGAGGTGTCAGCCCTTCATTCCTGAGGAGAAGCCAAGTGGAGCCATTCACACTGTTCAGGGGGTCCTGCCCTTGTCAGTAGGTCCCTCCTGCCCCAGTTTGTAGCTTTAGGGCACAGGACCCCCCAGGTGACTGTGGCATGGATTTCAAAACAGGCAACCTCCTGAGGATGTGAGAAAGATCTCTGCAGGATACAGCTTCAAACAGTGCTAGGCATGGTTGACATAGATCAGAAGGGAGAGCTGAAAGGATGGGCATGAAGAAAGGGGAGAAGTTAGCAACGAAGCAGTGTGCTAGAACAAATCTTGTGGCAAAGCAACCCCCAGTGACTGTATTCCAAATTCTCAGCTCTTCTGGGGGGTGAGGCACGCCAGTTTTTTGCCTTGGTTACTGCAGAGGCTACGGCACCCACTCTGCTCGCCGTGCTGGGAGCCTCCTCCCGTGTCCCATCCCCTGGCGCACATGTAAGCTGTGGTATCCTGGTGGAAGCCATAAGGACATACCTCAGTGCAGACCCCTTCACAGCCTGCTCCGCTCAGGGGACTCTAATGAGGAGCAGAAAAAGGATGACAGGGTCACATCATTGCACAACCCGCAGTGTCCACACCCGCCCTACGATCCTGGCCCCTTCGACCTCTGCCAGCCCACCCTTTACATTGCACTGAGACCCACAAGATTCTTCTGGCCCCCAAGTGTCTCCTGGCCCTGCTCTGGCCACCTGGAGGCTGCTTGGCCACCACTGCCTGTCAGTCAATAGCCTATTTTAGATTATCTTGACTCTCTGGAATCCACCAGCTCTCACAGGACTCACGTAGCATCTGAGGTTCCCATCCATCAATCTCCCTAGTGCTCTGGCCTTCACCATTTCCCAACACTGCCACATCAGCCCCTGGCGTCTATGTCTTCCCTGCTTTTTTTGCCTTCTGTTTCCTGACTTCTACTCTTTAACTATGAGGAAGTCTCTGATGTACTGGAACTTGAAGCTGAGCTGCCTCGTGTGGCTCCAAGTGCCCGTATGCAGAGGTGCGGGCATCACACAGCAACGGGCCTGCACACACAGAGGCAGCTCCAACGACCGTGGGCTGCTCGGCCTGTGTGAGCAACCCAGCACCACAGACACAAACGAACTTATGCTCTTGGGACAGCCATGCCCACATCTAAGGTGCAGAAGCAAGAGCTCAAGCATTGCGGATGCCAAGGTGCCCACATGTGCCAGTGTGAGATCTTAGCTTGGTAGGGGACGTCTTTGGGATTGTTCTCAGGGCTGCTCACAGAACAACTGCTTTGTTTCCTGACCACAAGCAAAGTTGCCTCATATTTTTCTCTTGGATTCAGGTAGAAAGCAAGACGCAAAATGAGATGCAGAAGAGCTTGGTTTTCATCTCTGTTCTGTGCAAGTCAAAGCAGGGTCTGAAATCCATGTCCTGGATGATCCCACAGATCCCCAGATGATCTCTAAGATGCTGGCTTGGTCAGATTGAGGCCTTGTTTTTTTCTTTCGCTTCTTCTGTTGGAGAAGTAGTATCTCTATCTCCTGTTTATCTCCTTTTCTTCAGGGCAAATGGGAGGATTCATCATCATTTTCACTTCCAGGAGGGCTTTGGCACTTGCAGGCTGGGGAGTGGCTAATTCCACAGTTTCTTGCTCTGATGGAAGGTGCTTTGCTGAGCGCATGGAGGCAGGGCTAAAATAAAAGCTATCACAGTAGTGAGCAAAGTTATAGTGATTTTCTTGCCTCAGTAGCAGTTTAGAAATCACAGGATCAAGCAGGAACTCAGTGTTCAGGGTCTTTTATTCCAGTTTTTCCTTTGTGTTTCTGGCACAAAAGTCTTTTTCCAGTGTTGTCCCTGCCCGTGCAGTGAGATGCTGGCATTGAATCTCTCCAGCTAAAGGAGCGTATTATGTGCTGTGAGCACAAGCGGCTCAGCTTTAAGAGCCCAGGAATGGGACAGGGCCTAACTCCTGAATAGCTGGGGTTTAGAACAAGCACAACCCTTCGGCCTAATTCTCAGCACATGCCAGTAGGTCAGAGAGCTGGATGTGTCAGCAGAGACAGCCCTAAATTGTTCCTTTGGGGTAAACATTGATGGAAATCTTGCCCACAAAATGCTGATTCTTCATCACAGGTGCCTCTGTGATGCCCCTTAGAAAGGGCAAGGAGATAGAGGCCAAGGTTTGCCTAGGAATTTAGGTACTTATTTAGTCCTTGTAACATGTACTCAGGATTCCACATCCTTCTTCAACCTGTTTTTGTGACTCTGAAATTTAATTTACAGTGGAGCAGAAACAATGCCTGGAGTCTAAGGAACATTTCCTTGGGCATCAGGAACAGATGCTGGACACAGATCAGAGGGGCAAAGCAATGAGATCATTTCTGAAAGAGGCTGGACTCCTCACGTTCCTGAGCAATGGGCACACGGAGAGCCCTGCTCTCTGGGCACGATGAAGCATTCGGATTTCAAGACTCTCACTACATGACTGTCCTGTCTTTCACTCCTGATAGAGGGGATGAGGTCAGTGCACCAGTCTTTAAGCCTGTCTTTCTTCAGAGAGATGTTGCAGACATTGAAGCATGATATCCCCAAGTGATTAAGAGGATAGCAGTGATCTCTC